GCGTGTCAATGATTGCTAGTGGCATTGAATGAGCCTCCTCCATCTGAAAGATATTGAGAGTTCCACATCAGTAGCCATGTATATTGCAAGTTAACCTTCTTATGCAACTAACTAATAGCAGGTTATGTGAATTTGATATATTATTTCTACCTTAAAAATTTCTGAATTTTGGCGCCAATAATTTTGGGACACCCTGTATGTTACCTCGCCCGCACCTTGTTGGTCTAACGCTTTGCGTAAAAGCTGGGAAACATTGCGTTCTTGGGCTGTTCGGGACTGTTTCAGCAGCGGTCCGACTCCGAGACCGTACCTAATGACGGCCAAACGCTATAGGGGAAATTGCCTGTTTTCTATGCAGATTTATTTCCTGACTATGCTCCTACTTACCTGACCGGTTTCCCCCTCCCACTCATTGACCTCTGTGTTATGCTGCTTATTTATGGTATGCTTGAATGGGTACTTTTTTGCATTAATACCTCCTAATTAGAAGGGATTCGAAAGACTTGAGCTAGCTTTTCGCCGCGTTTCACATTCCGGACATTTTTTTGAGGAGTTTATGGGTGACTGCTTCTTGGTGTCGCGGAAAGAAGTGCAATTAACCACATGATAAACGAAGGACGTAATAGAGATCGAGAAGCTAATCAAACAAGCCGAAAAGCAGTCGGAGCGCTTCTAAAAACGTGTGGCTTGCCAGAATTGGCTTCATTAATAAGTGAAACGTTTGCATAAAGATGTGATGCTTAACAGTGCGATTAGAGGGAAATTGACGTTAGCGATATAAGAACGATAAAAAGTATACACAATGAAAAATAGCATAGAAAACTCTTTCAGCCCTTCCATAGACAATTAGAGCAGAAGAGAGCACAAGAGTAAAACCGAGTAGGGGAGTTGAAGCGTAGTAAAGGCATCCTATGAGGGCGATCAGAAACCCCCACCGCAGACTGCAAATCACTCCAAATGCAGTCGCTCCAAAGCACAAAGTTTTTGAATCCCTCTCCCATGCCCTGAGGCTGGTTGGCTTTGCCAGCGTTTCGAACAACACTCAGTTCACTTGACCGATTCCAGATTTTTTTTTGACTTCTAATACAGGCTAGTTACCGCGTCCAGAGTATCAAACATCAAATGGACATATAGAAGCAGTCTGAGCAGCTGGTCAGTCACTTTGGAAACATCTTTGCAAAACGATCTAGCCCACGGTATCGCCTGAGGGGTACAAACTTCGAATTCCATTCCTTTTTAGCAAGGTTAGTGCTTTAATTGAATAGACGGTGCCCGTCAACCCCTGCTCATTTCAGGTGTTCGCAGTCAATCGCTCCTTTTCAAACTGGATTGTTGGGAAAATTACTGATTCTCGCTGTTTTCTATTTCATGGAATCACATGAACATATAAATCAATTTCAAAGACATCTAATATTACATGATGGATGCACATAAGAGGATAGAGAAGTTACGGTCTATGAAGACTACGATGGAAAACGGACGGTAAATTTGAGTTCGTGATAATTTGCGTCGCATCATGCTGGGATAGTGATCAGTAGCACTGAGCCCTGCTGGTGAAAAGATAAGGTTGGGGGAGGGTAAAGCCTCTGCTATGCCCTTCGTCTTCGAAGCTGGGGGCTAGAGCGACGAGATGGAGTTTCTTACTCCATTCAGGTCCAAGGACGGGAGGTGCGACCGGATGGGTAAGGCGTTGACTTCGCTGAAAACATGGGAATGGAAGAGGAATTGATAACGAGGATACTACCTCACTCAGGGAGGGCAGACAAGGGCGCAAAAACCCGGTTGCTCCACCTTCCTCCCCTCCCATCCACCTCAATAACATCCCTACAAGCCCCGTCATCCCGTCAGTTGATAGGGCACCTATATTCAAACCTGACCACTACACTGGGCGCTCCC